CAGTATGATCGAAATTGCGAATAATCAAATGATGTTCTAATTATCGTAGTAAAGATGTCTACGCTTTTCTATGATTTTCACCACTTTTTCACACTAGCAATTCTAAGTACCTCATGATGTGTCTTAGCGAAATGTTTCTCTCTCTCTCTCTCTCCTCTCCCTCTCTCCCCCTCTCCCCCCTCTCCCCTCTCGCTCTCTCTCTCACTATCTCTCACTCTACCTCTCTAACTACTAGGTCTAAAGAAGGACAAGAAGGAAGCCGCGTCTCCTAAGCTCTCTCACAAGGAGCTGCTGCAGACGGCGGAGGCACGCGCCGCCACCGAGTGCCGCATAGAGTGCTCCTCTCCGAAGCCAGCCGCGAAGGGGAAGCCTGAGAAGGAGGAGAAGCAGCGGCAGAAGGAGGAGAAGGAGCAGCAGAAGACGAAAGAGAAGCAGCAGCAGCAGCAGAGGGAGAAGGCTCACAAGGAGAACGGGAAGAGCCACAAGGAGGGACGGCGCGAGAAGGAAGCCAAGGAGAAGGCCGCAAAGGAGGAGCGACAGCGCGAGGAGAAGGCGGCAAAGGAGGAGAGGCAAGCTGAGAAGGACGCAAAGGAGAAGGCCGTTGCCGGCACGAGAAAACCGCGTGTAGAGTCGTCTCGAGGCAAGCCGGAGGCTGCGCACGAGCGATGCGAGGTGCAGGCGGTTGCTAACGAGCGCACGGAGAGAACCTCCCTCCGCTACACAGCCGACAAACAGCAGCAGCAGCAGCAGCAGAAGGCGGACAGGAGCGCGGATGCAGACGCACGCGGCTTAGACTCTGACGCGCCGGGGCGCGCCAAGAGCTCGTCGAAGATCGCGAGCTTCGTCGCGAAACCCTCGTCGCCGCCGGTAGCGCCCCCTGCGAAGTCGTCCCTCGGCAAGGCGAGGTCGCCGTCGAAGCTGGACGAGCGTGCGACCCCGTGGCCGCCCCCTGCCGGCGACGCCATGCAGCGCAGCGGCGGCGGCGGCGCGCCGACCTCGTCGCTGACCTCGTCGGTGACCTCTGTGACCTCGACGGGAATCCCGAAGCCAACGGCGGCGGTGAAGGGCACGTCGAAGGTCACACGGGACGAGCTGTCGTCGTCATCGTCGTCGACGACGTCGTCGCGCGACTACAGCAAGAACTGCGGCAGCCTGACGCGGCCGAGCAGCAAGGACAGAGTGGAGAGTCTGCTGCAGGTGATGTACACACGCATGCACGCACGCACGCACACACGTACACACGTACACACG